CAAATGAGTGATACGCAGTGCAGTTGCTCACCACGTGCTGACCAAGCCCAGCCTGTTCTTGGGTAACTATCCTGGAGGAACAGGAACAACGATACAAAAAACTGAAACCGCAATCCCAGAAGAGCAAGAGCCAGAGAGAGAGGCCCTCATTAATACACTGAACATTATATGATATGGAATATCCCATTGGTGTATCCAAATGCCAGTCTAGCTTACTAATTTTAATATTCCTCACCGTATATATGGAATATCCCTCTGGCATATCCAAATGCCAATCTAGCTTATTAATTTAAATATTCCTGGCCCCCCCTAGACCTTGCATGTATAGACTAACAAAACACAAAGTCCTTTGACTTCCAGAGACAATTGTAAACATTGGTATGTTATCAGTGTTCTTCTCATAACAAGTCCCAGGCTGAAACCAAAACACCGCACCATTCTAGCTACTAAAAAGAAACCCAGCTCTGTCCCAGCTAAAAACCAGGACACACTGTCACTCTGTCCTTGTGATGCTAGCTCCCCGGGAGCTCGAGCATCCACTGTGTTTTTTTTTTCCTGGAGCTGGACCTCCGCGTGGCCCTACGTACCTGCTGGGGTTGCACAGCATCTCTCAGCAGCATGCCCATCCACCACCATTTCAGGACCATGGTATGAAGCTCCCTTTAGTTTCTTTTTGGCTAAAGGATGAGGGTGTCACTCTGTCCTTGTGATGCTAGCTCCCCGGGAGCTCGAGCATCCACTGTGTTTTTTTTTTCCTGGAGCTGGACCTCCGCGTGGCCCTACGTACCTGCTGGGGTTGCACAGCATCTCTCAGCAGCATGCCCATCCACCACCATTTCAGGACCATGGTATGAAGCTCCCTTTAGTTTCTTTTTGGCTAAAGGATGAGGGTTGCATATGCTAACAGAGCATCAGGCAAGAGAATAGATCACTTTAGGAGGTGGTAGATCTGGGCACCATATTCCTACTGGTACAGACTGCTCTCTGATTAGGAAATGAGTATCCCATTTCCTTCCCAAAAAACCTCTGTGACTCAATCCTTGACAGATCAGCCTTGTTTATCGAGTGGCTATTTTGCTCAAACGTAAGCAATGGCACTGATCCAGTAAGAGGGAAATTAAAAAGATGAGGGTGAATGTGCATTTCCTCCTTCATGACCGATACCCCTGGTAGCACTGTGGTTGCCCGCTCCTGCAGCAGCAGTTCCTTCATTGAAGGAGAAGCAGCTACACATGGCCCAGCAGGGTAAAAAAACACCAGGAATGCTTCCAGCAGGAAGAGTTCAGAGCTGGCAGTGAACTACACGGCCAAGAAGTCCTACTGCCGGAGAGCCGTTGAACTCACGTGTAAGTATATTTTTTTCTCCCTCTGCAAGGAGGTTCATGGGGATATTGCAGCAGCGATATGTGTGCAAGTTGGAGGTGACCTGAGCTTCTGTTCCCCTGTGCCGCAGTGGGCAGCCTGGGCGTCAGCAGTGAGCTCCAGCAGAAGCTGCAGGATGTTGTCGTGGACAGAAATGCCCTCAGCCTGGGGAAGGTCCTGGGAGAGGGTGAGTGCTGGGGCTGGAGAGCTGAGGATGGACATATAGGGTAGGGGCTGTGAAATAAAGGGTGGGGCCTGCCACTGTTACCTACATCATCCACCAGCTCCAGGCCCAGGGATGTGGGGGAAATGGTGGGTCAAGATAACCCAGTGCCAGCGCCACTAGGTTCTGCCACTGATGAGACACAAGCCTCCCTCCTGTAGCCTTTTGGGGACAAGGTCTCTGTCTTGGAGTATTTCAGATTTTCAAGGACATAGCGGTGTCCTGAAGGGTGGTGCTTCAGACTGTGGATAAAGTGCCTGCTTCTTTCCCGTGATGTAGGGGAGTTCGGGTCAGTGATGGAGGGGCACCTCAGCCAGCCCGACGGCATCCCACAGAAGGTGGCTGTGAAGACCATGAAGTGTAAGTCATCACCCTGGCCTCACACAACTTGTTGTTTATCCCAGTGGGTGCCAGCATTGCTGCTACCCATCTCAGGTGGTTCTCTCTCTGCATCCTGGCACCATTTTGGGGGATGCTGGCCTCTCTGCCACAGCTCTTGGTGTCAGTCAGGAAGGGGCACTCATATCAGCCAGCCAAGGATGGCAGAGACATCCCAGTGGTCCCTTCCCCCCTGACCCACACAGGAGCTGTGCTGTGAAGGGAGACGGCAGCAGTGATTTGAGGTGTTAAAGCTCTTGAGGTGTTAAACCTCCTCTTTTTTCTCTGCTTCCCAGTGGATAACTTTTCCCAAAGGGAGATAGAAGAGTTCCTCAGCGAAGCAGCATGCATGAAGGACTTTGACCATCCTAATGTCATCAAGCTCCTAGGTATGGGCTGTCAATCCTCACCCTCCAGCTGGGATTTGGGCTGGGGAGACGGACTGGGGAGCGCTTGGGTCCTGCACAGATGTCTGTGGTGGGAGTGTGGTGCCTTTGCTCACAGGGCTGTGCAACCTGTCTGTGTTTTCCAGGTGTGTGCATTGAGCTGAGCTCCCAGCAGGTCCCCAAGCCCATGGTGATTCTCCCATTTATGAAATACGGTGACCTTCACAGCTTCCTGCTTCGCTCGCGGCTGGAGATGGCCCCTCAGGTAACAAGTGCAGGGAGCAGAGGGCCCAGTGTCTGCAGGGAGCAAGGTGCCTCTTTTGGGGACAAACCTGCCTTTGTTTTTTGAGAACATCAAGAGGACTTGGTTGTAGCCATGCTTCCTGCCTTTGTCAGGTGGCAGCAGTGGGATCCAGCTCCCCACCTCCTGTGGGATTCTTGCCTTGCCTTCTCCAGGCTGAACAAGTCCAGTTATCTCAGCTTCTCCTTGTACACCATCTCCTCCAGCCCCATCTTAGTGGTCTCCTCTGGGCTTGCTCCAACATGTCTTTCTCCTACTGAGGAGGCCTGAAAGGGACACAGCATCCAGATGTGGCCTCATCAGTGCCAATTAAAAGGGAAGAAGTTTCTCTTGACCTGCTGGCTGCACTCTTGCTAATGCAGCCAGCTGCAAGGTTGGCCTTCACTGGCACAAAGGTGCACTGCTG